CTCCCTTTTCCTTTGGTTTCAGGCGAATGGATGAGTGACTGGTGATTGATCTGGAGTGTCAGCTTTGTTAGGATCTCTCTAATCTTCATCTGGCGCTAACCCAGTTCGCTACTACATATTGGAAAACTTGAGGCCCTTTTCTGTTCTGTATGTAAATACAGAGTCTATCCTGTCTCTTCCTCTGCTTATCACCATGTCATCACTTGGTGACTACCCTCTCATAGATGGAGCAGCGGAAAACTTTTCTACTTCCATCATATCCCATGACTAGGTCATAGACAATCTTTGCCAGAAATGAAAAGCTCTTGGGACCAGCAGTTAGCGTAATAGGTATGTTGCTGGATTTCCATGTGGTCGAAAGCAGTTCAAGTCCTGGACCCGGTGGCTTACACTCACGCCGGGCGCGTGTGTGTGTGTGTGCCCAAGATCCCAAGAGGAGAATAGAGGAGAAGGGATTGTGGCGTGGCCATCTCCCCTGGGGAGGGCGTGATTTCTCGCTTTCTGTCTCTCTGTCTCTCTCTGTCTTCCTGGCGAGTGCACACACCCTATAGCAAAAACCTCTCCAAAAAAGAAAAGAAATGATCTAATCCCTATGAACCAGATATCCCTCCACAGTCATATAGCAACGTGTCTGGAGGTGCAAGTTTAACATTCTTCTAAATACAATTAATAGTGGCCAAATATTACTTATACTAGACTGCCAGTCACTGAGGTGCAAGGTTCAAAACAACAAAAACAATAATTGTTCCCTGGGGGCAGCTGAAAAGAGCCTCAAGGGTGCTTGCTACAAATACATCCCCTTGGAAGATGACTAAGCAACTGTTTTTCTTTTCCCTGCGAAATGTTCTGAATGTCTCTCAGCCTAGAAAGCAAGAATGGCTTTGACAGGTAACGAGCAGCAATCATAAGCTTAGTTCCTATATAGTGGCCTTAGGAACTGAAATGAGCATGTTTTCGAGTTTTCTCCTCTTTTGTCTAAAATATAAACAATTAGGCCCAATGGTATTCCTAGCTTCTCTAGTTACCTTAATGGAATTTATCACGCTACCATCATGGGGGAGTGAAGATGGCTGAATCAATGGAAAGGTGTTTTAGGGCTCATGCACTCACAAGACAGAGAGAGAGAGGAAGAGAGAAGGAGAGAGAGAGAGAGGGAGAGGAAGAGAGGAAGTGAAAAAGCAAGCCGCCAAATCCGGGACTTGCAGTCGGTCTTGTGGCAGTCTAGCACCTTAACCACTACACCACCTGCTTGTCCCTGGGGAGGTGTTTTTGATGAAGACTTTTCTGTGTGATTCTATACTTAAGTTTTATCACTTCCTGCACTAGTGGAAGTCCTGAAATTAGGACAGCTAAATTTTTGTTTTAATAAAAATTGCCAGAGGGTACAAGTGCCCTTCAGAGACAGAAACAGAGAGAAGCAGAAAGCACTCTCGCAAATGGATGCATGGCCACACCGCAATCCCTTCTCCATTTTTTCACCCTGTCAGGATTGTGGACACACACACACACACACACTGGTTCAGTGTGGCTTTTCAAGCTGCTGGGGCCAGGATTAGAACCACAGTCATCCTCTTGGGATCTGGCTCCCTTAACCAACAGGCTACAGGGCTGGCCCAGGAGAACTATGATCTTCAAAGCCCCAATTCTATACTCACTCTTGACATAGAGGACATCTATCGTATGTACTACGCATATTTCCATGCCTTAACTACTAGGTCATGGGGCCCACCCCTTTTTCTTTAAACCCTGTTTTCTTTAAAATGAAGTTCTCTGATTTCATTACCCTTTCACCAATACACTTCATTATATTTTATTAGTTCTTATTTATCCAGTTCTTGAATTGCACATCTTTAAGCCACAAATTTAGACTCCAACACTATAAGGATATGTATAGCAATAATTACTCCCAAATGTAACTCTGGCCTAGAATCTTCTCCAGAAGAGTAAATACTTCCAGATATCAGCTGGCCAAAATTCTTTACCTCACTGTCTGATTAAATACTCTACACAGTAAAACACAATTGAATAGCAAGTTATTACGGAAGTTTTGTTGATAAATATGGAATTACACAATGCCTGTCTGGATGTAGAGTGTGTCTGTGTGCGAGTGTGCTTACTGAATGACATAACCACGAACATACTACTCAGTATCAGAACTAGAACACCGCCATGACTTCAGTACTGCTCCCCAGACCTCATCCCCTCTTCCCCAGAACAACCCATGATTTGTTGATTACTCTCTTGTTTGTAGTATGTAGATTGTATTATCTCTCTCTCTAAACAATATATTATTTGGCTCTACTGGATTATACTCTATGTAAAAATACTTGTGCAGTCTTCTACTGGGCTGTCAGGAAAGTCATGACACATTTTTGCATAGAATAACATGTCATGACTTTCCCGACAACCTAATGTAATTGCTTTTATTACTCCAGTTTCTAAAATTCAGTTGCATTACTATGTGAAATTACTGCTTGCTATGTTCCAGTGCTACTTTATACTTCATAGTATAAATAGACAACAGCTTACTTATTTGTAAATTTTTGGTGTTTTTTAAAAATAATGCTATCATAAATGTTTTTGTTCATGTCTCTTGGTACATAGATATACATGCAAGAGTTTCTCTAAATCCTAAAATCAAAGTATATCTATGCAGAAATGGAACTGCTAGATTTTATGTTCAACTTTGCAAGATTGGTGTAAACGCTTTGCAAAGCTGTTTTCCAAAGTTGTTTGCTTGCGTCAATTTAACATAGTGAACAAGTGTTCCTTTCGTTCCACACCACTGATGCCACTTGATATTTTTAGACTAGTTTAGTATTTGTCAATAAAATTGTTTCACTATAGCAAGATTTAGATTTTCCTGAATTTTTTTTTTTTTTTTGGAGAGATTTTCACTTCAGGGTGCGTGCGCTCACCAGACAGACAGAGAGACATAGAGACAGAAAGCGAGAAATCACCCCCCAGGGGGGATGGTCACGCCACAATCCCTTCTCCTCCATTCTCCTCTTGGGATCTTGGGCACGCACGCACACACACCTGGCGTGAGTTTTAAGCCACCAGGTCTGGGACACGAACCGCGGTCGACTACGTGGGAGTCCAGCGACATAGCCATTATGCTAACTGCTGGTTCCCAGATTTTCCTGAATTTTAATAAGGCAGAACAACTATTTTTTAGGAGGTGTTTTTTGTTTGTTTGTTTTGCTATAGTGCGTATGTGCTCACCAGAGACACAGAGAGAGACAGAAAAAGTGAGAACCACCCTTCAAGGGGATGGCAACATCAAAATCCCTTCTCCTCTCTTCTCCTCCCAGAGTTTTGGGCATCCATGCACGAGTACCTCGTGCATTTCAAGGCGTACAGGACTCGAATTGTAGTCAACCAAATGGGAATATAGCACCTCAACTACTATGCCGCCGCTGGCCCCAAGCTTAATAGCTTATGTATGGCCACTTACAATTCATGTTTTCTCTCTTTTTTTTTTTTTTTTTAGAGGTTTTCACTATAGGGCGCGTGCGCTCATCAGACAGACAGAGAGAGACAGAGAGACAGAAAGTGAGAAATCACCTCCCAGGGCGGATGGCCACGCCGCAATCCCTTCGCCTCCATTCTCCTCTCAGGATCTTGGGCATGCATGCACACGCACCTGGCGTGAGTTTTAATCCACCAGGTCCAGGACTCGAACTGTGGTCGACTACATGGGACATAGCCATTACGCTAACTGCTGGTCCTAGCTTGTAAAACTTTTTGAAAATCCTGTTAGGTTTTGATCAGAGTCACCACTGAACTCAGTGACTAACTCAAGAGATTTGAAATTCTAAGGATATCTGTTGTTGATACCCATGATCGTTATATATTCTTTACTTGGTAGGTTTACTTTGATTCTCATTACATTTAAAAACAATTATCCAAAAGCTGTTATTCATCTTTTCTTTGATGTATTTCTAGGTAACATGGCACCATTTCCTTTTTTTTTTTTTTTTTTTTTGAGAGGTTTTTGTTTGTTTGTTTTGTTTTTCACTATAGGGCGCGTGCGCTCGTCAGACAGACAGAGAGAGACCGAGAGACAGAAAGTGAGAAATCGCCCCCCAGAGGGGATGGTCACGCCGCAATCCCTTCTCCTCCTTTCTCCTCTTGGGATCTTGGGCACGCACACACATGTGCCCGGTGTGGGTTTTAAGCCACCGGGTCTGGGACGTGAACCACAGTCGACTACCTGGGAGTCCAGTGACATAGCCATTACGCTAAGGAGAGGTTCCCACCATTTCCTTTTTATGAAATTTTCTACTGTTGCTCATCTTTGAGAACACAAAATGATCTTTGGATACAATGTATCTGTAGATATCATTAAGCTTCAAAAATTCTATTAATTTGCTGCCTCTGAATAGCATCAGCTTTGTATCTTTTCCATTCTTAAACTTTTTACTTATTTTCTGTACCTTACTACACCAGCTACTGAGGATATCTGGTGCAATAATGAACTACACTTTCCTTGATCAATCTGATTTTAAAAAGTTATTTCTAATATTTTATAACAATGATTAATGTGTAAGTACTTTCATAAGTTTCTTTTACCTGATACTCTTTTCCTACTTTTTCTCTTTTTAAACCACCATGGTGGCTGAATTTTATCAAATGCTTTTTATGTGCAGATTGAGATGGGATTTTCTCCACTTTAGTGGTAAACTGCACTTTTAGATTTCCTGTTATTTTATCCTTTCACTTCTGGTATCAACTCAATTCGATTATGGTACATCATTTTTTTTTTTTTTGGAGAGATTTTCACTGTAGGGCGCGTGCGCTCGCCAGACAGACAGCGAGAGACATAGAAACAGAGAGCGAGAAATCACCCCCCAGGGGGGGATGGTCACGCCGCAATCCCTTCTCCTCCATTCTCCTCTCGGGATCTTGGGCACGCACGCACACGCGCCCGGCGTGAGTTTTAAGCCACCGGGTCCGGGACATGAACCGCGGTCGACTACGTGGGAGTCCAGCGACATAGCCATTACACTAACTGCTGGTTCCCGGTACATCATTTTTTAAAATGCTCTATTGTGTTGTTGATAATTTGATTTTTATTTTCTGTTCTCTTGAGACTGATCTGTATTTTTTATTTCTCATGCTATTCTTTCTTGTGTGAGTCTTGGTTATCACTGATAAGTTGGTCTTTATGAACAAGAAGATTTTTTTTTTTCTATTTTCTTCAAGAGTTTGCATACCCCTGAAACAATACACACATCCAAGTTCAGTAGACCCAGTCTGAAAAGCCTTGAGCTATTAGCTTTCTTTGCATGACTACGGATACATAGGGAAGTATAGGTATCACCTCAATGTGTATTTATTTCTTCTATGTTGTGCCTTCTCTTGCTCTCTTTTGGATGTGTTTTCTTATTCTAATTTCCTTCTCTACTGACTTTAGTGTTCACCATGAAATCTTCTCAGAGATACTCAAATTAAAAAAATAAATAGGTATCTTAAATCCCCTTTTAAATACAAGGACCACGGAGGATACTAATGTGATCACCCTTTCAAACTTACTTGCTAACATTGTTCAATATGTAATTTTTTAACTAACTGAACTAGACATTTATCAATACATTGTGTCACCTTTTAAAAACAAAAGGTCATTACATTTGATTTAGGGTAGTCTTTTCTAAAATGCTGACACCAACTATATCTTATAAATGGACAGACTAAAGCCATCTGGGAAATCAAGTGGTGGGCTTAAGACTAATCAGCTACTTTAATAGCTTTTGCAAGTCTTCGACTATTGGTCTTCCGGTAAAGGGAACAGAGAATATGGCTGCTTTGCCAATGCCAGTACTCACAGCCTTCATTTTTGGATTTTTATAAGAACCAGACAGCTTTCTACCTCTGATCCAGCTTCCACCCTGCAGTCCAATTGAGTTTTCTTAAACGCTGTTGAATACATTCCCAAACTGCTGAACACACTACACATTTCCAACTCCTTGCATGTGTTTATAAGATCTTTTGTGATCAGGTCCTCTCTTGTTATCCCCACTATTTACATAATATGCTCCATCAGCTGTATGACTATATTACTATGCTAGCCTATCAAGCTTTGTGCCTTTGTCATGTTAATCTTACTCATTCTTTGAAGGCTTCAGTGTCATTGAAAAATCTTTTTGGACTCTCCTCTTCCCCGCCATGTTTTCTTAGCACTTGGTAGTACAAGTAGCCCAATGTTCATAGTAAATGCTTGTTTCAAATGGACTACTTACTCCTGTGAGACTTACGTATCTTGGTTTATCTAGATAATTTTGTTTGTTTGTTTGTTTATCTAAGTAATGAGGTTCTTAGTACTTATCTTCCAGAGTTGGAAAATAGTGGGTCATCGTAAAAGCTATGTGTTTTTCTATGCAAAAATGTATTATGGCTTTTATGGCGACCCCAGAGATACATAAAACTGGTCCCCAGTAATTACTACAGGTGGTTCAAGAATGCTCTCTTCAATTGTGATATAAACTCTTACGTGCCCAGTAAGTGCAGGATGCCAGAATACATCTGAAAGATAAAGAGCATACGCACAGTTCCTTCACTCGAGGAACTCACAGAATGTATTAGGTTGTCAGAAAAATCATGATGTATTTTTGTTTTTCTATGCGACTGAACAGAAAAAGAATACCTAGCAGTAGCATTTCACCATATAAAGATTACTCATTCAAAAACTAGAAGTCGTCAAAAAGTTCATGGAAAATGCATTTTAAAACTACATGGGTTTCAGTTCTGCACCAAAATATAGTTGTACTGGAACTCTATTTTTCCATGAACTTTTTGATGTCCCCTTCTCTTTACTGAATAAATGGTCAACAGATATGAGCAACATAATATTAGAAAGTTTATGTGTAGACTTAAAAAGAACAAATGCCATCTCTAGCAAAAGGTATCAGATTAAGTACGAGTTACATTCTGTGTTCAGAGATAATTCAAGGTATAAATAAGTCTGTCACAAGAGTTGGCTATACTATGACTACTGTATAAGCTACTACTTCAGGAAAGGTGCCCTCAGTAGTATAAATTGGGTTTCAACTAGATTTGGACAAAACTGCTCAATATATTAGTTTTAGCACGCACAACAAATTCAAACCTATCCAAACATTCATTAGAGCACAATTGTTTGTCATATCCATAAAGTTTATTTTTAAAAAATTGTTAAAAACTAACCATACAGGAATATTTATTAATATACTTAAAAAGTTTGTTCCCCAAGTTGAAGGAAAATACATTAGCAACATCTTCCAGACACCATCTTTATAAAAGTAAAACTTCTAGATGCTGAAATGTACTACAGTAGATTCTATAGTTTACACTTTTAATCACAGGATTGGGATTCATTCTCCCTACTCCCCCGCCCCCGCCCAGTGTGGCAGTTCTTCTTCAATTAATAACATTCGGTCATGTTACACTACCACAGACCCTTAAATAGAGTACACACTGCATATTTACTAACAGAGCAAGTCTTCTCTATTTGTTGTCACATAATTATTTCAGATAAGCATTTGACTTTAAGTACAAATAGAAATACTACATCCCATGATTGTAAACATTCACCAAGAGCTTCCAGAGTACAATGAGTAATAGCGGCGGCCCAAGAGTCGGTTAAGGGTTCCTTGCTAATTTGGATACTGCTGAGATTAGGAAAAATGTCTTGAAGGCCAATTATTATAAGCCTTACGTATTATTTCTGTAAGAAAGTAGTTCTGGATATTTTGTTGAAAACACCTGAAAGTCATTCTAAAGACTACATTAAGCACCATTTTCACTTACCTGAAATACATTGAGTTAAATTCAGCAGTAGGTATGATCATTAATATCAGAAATTAAAAAATAACTGTGAGTGTCAAGTTCCCTTCTGTGGATACATATGGAGTACTGAGGTCCAGCTGATGCTAACAGGAACCACTCATGCATACCAAAGGTGGTGACTCCCCCAGGGCCACATGCAACCCATGAGTCTGAGGCACGACTATTACTTCTGTCAGTGGATGCTGTACAAGCAGATTTAAGGCTGTATTCGGCTATAAAGAGTTCGATCTCCTCTTTAATATCTTTCTACATAGGTCACCTACACAATTCAAAATTTCATAGAATGGAAGGTGAAAAGTCCCCGAACACTTTTTAAATACTATCTGCATACAATTTATTATCAGCTTACTTACATAAGGGAGAGTTCATACTTAAAACTGTTTAAAAAATGAAACCAGGATTTTCAAACTCCTGTCATCATTTCCCCAAGATTATCCTCATTCTCATTTTCAAGTTTTTGGCCAACTTCACAGTCATCAGATTGTTCACTGCAGTTCTTATGCAATCCGATGTTGCTCCGGAGGACAATACAAATCAAAATGTATTCACTGCCACCCACTTTGGGACAGGCCTGGTTGCAAAGAAAATGGTGTTCCTGGTGTTGAAGGATAACTAGGAAATCCATCAGGTTGAGCCGGATAGCTTTCCAGAGCTGCAGCTGAATGGACCTGAGAAAAAGAACAGCAATTTAGCCGAAAACCACAATCTACTCTGTGTGCCTTTTTCTGCATATGCCACACACAGCTAGCTATTCCACACATTTCTACTCCATAGAAAGGAAAGAACGAACTTTGGAGAAAAGGAAATTATACTCAGTTGCCTACTTCTTCTGTTTTTTGGAGAGGTTTTCACTATAGGGCGGGTGCGCTCGCCAGACAGACAGAAACAGAGAGACAGAAAGCGAGAAATCCCCCCCAGGAAGGATAGCCATGTCACAATCCCTTCTCCTCTTTTCTCCTCTAGGGATCTTGGGCACACACGTACACGCACCCAGCGTAAGTTTTAAGCCACCGAGTCCGGGACACGAACCGCGGTCGACTATGTGGGAGTCCAGCGACATAGCCATTATGCTAACTGCTGGTTCCCATAGGAATGTTCACACTTCTTCAGGTAGAAGAGATGCATACAAATGCCACAAATATATTGAATATATTTGCAAAGAAAATCTAGTATACTAGACATAATTTTCTTATCTATTTTTTTTTTTTTGCTTGAGTTGTGGACTAGTTACAATTTAACTGTTATGAATAAAGACTCCATTTTATGGGACCAGCAGGTGGCGTGGTGGTTAAGGTGCTGGACACTCCCACATGGCCAACCACAGTTCAAGTCCTGGATCTGGTGGCTTGCTTTCTCACCTTCCCTCTCTCTCTGTGTCTGTCTCTGATCAAACTAAAATAAATGAATGAATAAATAAGAACAAATAATTTTTTAAAAATTAAATAAATACATAAAGACTCCATTTTATTAAGTAAAAATCTCCAAACTGAGATTTTTAACCTATAAGCAGTAAAAGCATTCATACAGATGACTAGATCCACTGCCTATTACTCTTCTGAAAGAAGAGAGCAAATTTATAAATTCTGTGAGATCAAATCTCCAGACATTCTGATAAAAGTCATTTTGGGGGGCTAATTTTAGAATATCCAAACTGATATTGCCAGCCACATAGCACAGTGGTTAGGCACTGTGCCTGGGAGCTGGATCCCACTGCCAACTGTAGTTTGAATCCTGACCACAGTGGCTTGAAAAATGCACTGAGCACATGAATGTGCATGGTCAGGCCCTAATGATGGGAGGAAGAAACTGATGAAAGGGGATGGCAGCATGACCACACCCCACTGGGGGATGCGCTTTCTCTGGTGTACATACATGCCCTGTAGTAATTAAAAAAAAAAATGTTCTCAGAAACACATTGAAAAATGGCTACTGTAATGTTACCACTACAGAAGTTAGTTCTGTCAATACGTATGGTCCCTCATGTCCGACGCTGCCCACTCACCTGCTGTAACAGAGCTGACTGTGCAGCTGCATTATGCTGTAACTCTTGCAAAGATGACTGAGAAGGATTCTGAGAAAACCCAGGGATACCTGGGAGGGACAAAAGGCCTGAAAAAACAGAACTGCCTGCAGCTTGAAGTCCAGACGATAAACTGAAACAATTAATAGAAAAACAGGTCAAAATGCAGCTATGCTATAAAAGCTACTGCTTCTAAATTTGTCAATACTCTTTTAAGATGTTAGAAACATAACAAAGTTAGAATTTCTTCTTCTGTTAGAAGGAACCATAAAAGCCAGTTGCCAAGGTAAAATTTATTTCTTACAAAGTATATTACACTGTACTCAACAAGTCTAGGTTTTGTATTTAATACTCTCTTTTATAAGCAAGTTAAATTCCCAAATACAAATCCTACAATTATGTGAACAGGTATGTCATATATTCATTTTAACCCAGATGAAGAGTCACAATACATTTTTTGAGCACTGAAATTTGGGCCCAGAATAACATAACTTCTGGCGTTTGTTTGAATAACTTAAAATAACACTGTGAACTATAAGTTAAATAAAAAATAATTTTATCCTATTTTAAAAATCATCACATACCCAGCTTGTGCAACGAGAGCAGAGTTGAAATTGGAACTAAATGCCGAAGCGAATCCTGGGAGGACAGGAGCTGGTGATGGGGCAGTGGCGGCCACAGGTAGTGGTGTGACAGCTGCGACTGTTGAGGGCGCCTGCAGCCCCGGGAAGGAAGGGAGAGCGGGGGTGACACTTGGGGCATTAGAGGCAGAAAAGCCAGGATAGGAGGGATTCGAAGCTGGTAAAGGTCCTTGGGTAACTGAAAACAGGGACGGGACAGCGGTAGACAGGCTGAGGGGGAACGGTGTCGCCGAGACTGGCGCCGAGGCAGAAAGCCCTGAGAGAACAGCTGCCGTGGAGCTAGAATGAGGGACAGACGTGGAGGGGACAGAGGCGGATGAGGTGGCTATTAAGGACCCTGGAAGAGATACTGATGGATTAAGAGATGGGTTGCCAGCTAAAGGAAAATTATTGGTCAAAGAAGTAAAAGGAGGCAGAGCAGTGAATACTGGAGGGATAGGAGTGGAAGACCCATGTGGAGCCAGGGAAATGGAGGAAAGGGGGTTTGAACCATTTAAGGGAGTACTCAAATTGGAGAGACCTGATAATGCAGGATTAAGGCAAGTCGATAAGCTGATGGGCACTGATGTCGACGTGTATGCACGACTCAATGTCCCTGGCAAACCTAAAGTGCCATGAGAGGGAGTTACGGAATGAGATGGGCCTTTGAAGGCCGAGGGAGTGGGACTAGTGGGCTCGGTTTTGATCATAACAGGAAGAGTTGTGACAGCAGGGCTAGATGAAACATGCAGGTCAGTGGTTCCTGCAGGGGGCCCGTGCAAAAGGTTCACCGAGGAGCCACAGCTAACTGGCACTGACGCTGAGGAAGATGTAGGCGTAGCTAAAGGAGATTGCACAGGCAGAGTAGGGGGAGTGGAAGTTGTGCTGGCCACAGGAGACGGCAGGCCTGGGAACATGGCCAGTGCTGGTGTGGAAGACCTCTGTGGGGCGGGAATGGCAGATGGGGCATAGCACTTGTTAGAGGCTGAACCAAGAGAATCGGAGCTCTGATTAGTAAGAGATGACAGTGAAGCCAGCCCACTTGTAACAGCAGAGGATAAAGCAGAGGAGGTGATTAAACTGGTGTCATTTGATGTCAGGAAGCCTTTCAGAGCAGACAGAAGAGGACTGTTAACACTGAGGGAACCAGCAACACCAGGAGCAGAACCACCAGCAATTACAGAAGGAGTTGGGTTGGACAGACCCTGGGATGCTGGTGTCAAGGGCAAAGGCAGACCTGCAAAAACAGATGACAGTGGTGTAGAATTTGGGTTGTTGGCAGAAGCAGCAGTAGAGTTGACAGAAAAGGGGAGGCTAGTGAAAGGCGCAGAAGTAGAAGCAAATGTTTCACTGGAAGCAAGAGTGGCCCGAGGTGTAGACGTGGCCTGAGGGGCCGGGGAGGGAGTGGCAGAAGGACCTGGCAGTGGCACTAGGCCAGAGAAAATGGAAGGAACAGGAGCAGATGTTGTACTGTGGACAGAAGTGACAGGTGCAGTAGGCAGCGACAAGGTTCTGATAACTGTTGGGTTTGGCGTCGATGGCTGAGGTGTGTGAACAGCCGAGGACACCTGCCCTGGGAACACAGGAAGGACCGTACTGGGCAGGTTCATTCCAGGAACAGTGGCGGCCGGAGATGCTGATGGATGATTTACTGCCTTGACAGGGGATGCAGTCGGGACCGGAGTTGCAGCAGGTGTTGAAGGAGTAGAACCATGAGGAGAAAAAAGTTGACTTGCTGGGGTGGAAAAGGCTGCAGAAGGGGGGAAAAAGGCAAGAATTTATTACACTGAAATGTCTAATTTTAACTCAAAAGAAATGCTAACAATTTTTGTAACACTTAAAACATATCAAGGAAAATCAGTGAAGGTACTATCAGCTCATGCAATATCAAAACCACCAGATTTCATTACCCTGGTCCTCATTTTGGAGCCTCAGTCAGATCCAGTTGTCTTCTAGACTCTGTTTAGAACTTCCGACTTACACTGAGGAGCTTGCAAACAAAATTCCCCTTTCACATTTTGACACTTTTTTTAAAAGTAAAAAAATCTAATTTAATTGTGATTAGTATTGGTCTACTGATTTTACTTCTAATTCTTTCAAACTACTTATCTAGAGTATTAATCATAAGTTAGTCCTCCTCTTTTTTTTGGCCAGAACTGCCAACTTCCAGTAATTAACCAAAACGACAAACACAAAGGGAAAGAGGAGAGGCACCCGATATATGTTCTCTAGGCCTTTTAGAAAACA